GTTACCGCCCGACATTTAGATGTGTCGCTTCGGTAATGCCACCAAAGTAATGTGTCTCCTTCAGCGTCACGCAATTAACACGCTGAATGTTGCAATACCTGCGTTGTTATATACACGACAGCGAACTGCTATGGCCTGCGTCGATCAGTCAAAACAAACACGAACGAAACGAATTGTAACTGCGACTTTTACCGTTTATGCGTTTTTCCTCGGCTTTATTTGAATTTGCTGCGCTCGACGAAAACGCACACCTGTGAGCAACGGTGTCACAGTTCGTACATCGAGTAAAGGCATATAAGAAACAACAACGCTGTAAAGAAGAAGAGGCAGCGGTTTCCTTTGCCTTCGGACATGAGGTTAATCTCTCGCAGGGCTATGTGCTGCATGTAGACTGCCAAGTAGCATCCAGCCATCAAGGAAACAATAATGGCGAGAGTCATATAAGACATCCAGCCAGCGTTGTCCTCGGTAGCCAGACCACACATGATGCCCAACGGTGTCGTCGAAGAGTACAGTACGGCCATCTTGAGCGTCTTCCAGACGCCACAGCCAGTGCGAAGACCCATGACGCCCAGCACAAGGGCCATGGCAATCTGGCTTGCTATGGACGAGAAAAACAAGCCCACAGTCCCGAACACCGAACTACCTATGTGGAAGCCCTCGACGAAGAAATGAATGCTGGCCAGGAGAGCAAGTTCGGTGTAAATGACGCTGGACAAAGGTCGCACGTCGTACGTGTACTTTCTGCTTCCCAGGATGTACCTCTCGACAGTTCGCTCGGAAGTCTCGTGTACGGGCACGCCGTTGTTGATGGCGAGAAACAACGTGTTCAGAACGTGCGCCAACAGCACTCCCGCTGCCGTCATGTAGTCTGCTATGGGCAAGTTGACGGTGAGTGCTGACTTGTCCACCATCGCCCTTGCAAGCGGAACCATCCTGACGAACCAGTGAGCGAGACCGACTCCCGTGGCCGCACTGATGCAGTTGTTCAGCACTTCCGAGAGCGCAGGCTTGGTCGTTCGTGGTGCAAGAGCTGTCATAAACAGCTGAGGGTAGACGTACGCAGCTAAGACGACGGTAAATGCTGCAGGAACTGCGAAAGAGCTTGCCAGTAGAATATACATGCTTGCCGCTGATGTTGTTGTTGTTGTTGCCCCTTCGCACTGGCACTTACCCACTATGGGGGATTGGCCATGAAATCTAGAAGTATCCTATATGAGATATATTAAAAGGTTTATCCTTAATGAAAAAACTAATGATGTAATAGAAAATAATAATTAACTAAAAAGGAATATTAAACTAAACAGATAATTGAAGATTGAATCAAGAAGAGAAAAGGTGAGGTAATACTACAGTGGAAGACAGAAATTTTGAGTAGACCAGACAATCGAGCTTATCTCACCCGGTCACAATCAAATGAATATGCAAATTTCATTCAAAATTAGACAAGTGTCTTCAGAAATATATTTAAGCAGGCATTATTATGACATGCGCTTTGATTCTCGAATGAAATTGCATACAGCATCGAATACGCTCCTGTGGCAATGTCCCAAGCTAAAGGCACCGAAACTTAGAACATTATCTGCAGTTAAATTTAAACCTACTGCTTGAAACGGAACAATTAAAAGTCTTTTCCTAATTAATGAATAGTTTTTACATGTTATAAAGAAATGCTCTATTGTTTCCGTTTCTTCACAGAATGGACACAGGGGGGATATCGCCAGACCAGCTCTGTGCAAGTAAAAGTTTAATGGAGGGACACGACATCGAAATTTGGTTAAAATGACTTCTAACTTTTTAGATTGACTCCACTGAGGTTTCCAGGGGTATGTTAGGTGCTGATAGTCCGTATATTTAGTAATATTTTCCATAATATCCGTATAAATAGCCCATTTTCTATATCTGATCGACACTATGTGTTCCGATTCTGGTAGTACCGAGATCACAGGGCCATCAAGTGTGGCTCGAGATAGTGAATCGGCTATTTCATTCAACCGTATGCCACAGTGTCCCGGGACCCAGACTAACTTCAGGAACTTCACATGAGGTGGAACTAATGTTTGTAATGTCGCTAGAGCTCTTGATTGTTCTGAAGCTGTGAGAGTAGTACACAGCGAAAGAGAATCAGTAATTATCATTGCACTCTCTTCGTTTGAAGGAAGTTTTCGTAGCGCTAAAATAATAGCCAGGAGCTCAGCTTCGAAAACCGGAGTGAAGTCTGGTAGTCTTACCGAGAATGACCAACCGAGGTAATCTGAGACGATTCCTACTGCTGCCTTTTCTTTATTCACAGAAGCGTCTGTGGCTATTATGTTCTTTATTTCCGCATGAGCTATGTAGTCTTCTAACCTGTCATTTAAGTAACTCGAAGATTGAAACTTAGATAGTGGGGGAAAAATTTCATCACATTCTATCGTAATATTGTGATTTAATGCTTTGGTTCCAATTACCGATCTGATATCCACCTTTATGCTTTCAAGTTTCTTTTGTACAAAAATAATCTGGGGAGTACGAAAGCGTGGCCAGTGAGCGAGGAAGAAGGCGTCGGGGTCACTAATAAAGGCATATGCAGACCGTCTCGCTGATAAGCCGTAAAATTTCAAGTATGTTTGTACTGTTAAGATACGGAATCGGCAAAGAATAGTTGGTATGCGAGCTTCCTGATATAGTACATTAATAGCGACATACCTGGGGAGTCGCAAACACAACCGTAACGCTTCTCGCTCTAATAGAACTAACGGTTTAATTTTGTACGTAGGGCCACCCGAAAATAATATACACCCAAATTCGAGTATTGGGCGCATGTACATTTTATATATCATTAATAAGGTGTGTCTACGTAACCCATATTTTCTGTTGCTCAACCTTCGCAATAAGCCTGAAGCTCGTTGTGCCTTTGCCACGTTATAGTCTATGTGAGGGCTCCAGTTAAGTTTCTCGTTATAAATAATGCCCAAATATTTGATAGACTCTACTTGTGGAATCGGTTCCTGATTATAAAGTACTGAAATTTGAATAGAATCTGCTATAGGGAACACCAGGAGCGCACTTTTACTGATGTTTAGAGACAATGAAATTGAATGCAGCCAAATTTCAAGAGAATACATGTACTTTTGCAATTTTTGATGCAAAGAATAAATGTCACTGTCTGCAACGAAAAATGCAATGTCGTCTGCATAAATGTAGACAGTGATATCTCGTTCAATGGGAATTGAGCTCATCAACACATTGAATAACAGCGGAGATAGGACCGCCCCTTGAGGTACTCCACGTTGCTGTTTGAATTTAGATGAGTGACATCCATCCTTTGCACAATAAAATTCTCTCGATTTTAGAAACTCTGCTACCCAATCAACAATATATCGCGGAAAGTCACATTCGTGTAAAGAATTCAATAAAATTGAGTGCTCAACGCTATCATAAGCTTTAGCTATGTCTAGTGTTACTAGTACCGCGTATTGTCGTCTTTTTCGGGCAAGCTGTATTCGGCTCTCTAAGTCGGCATGAGCACACCAAATTGAGCATTCGCTACGAAAACCTATTTGAAATGGTTTCAATATTAGCTTGTCAGCCATCCAAACTTTTATTCTATTATTGAGAACTCTCTCTATAATTTTGATCAGGTGAGATGTTAGAGAGATTGGTCTGATGTTGTCAATGTTAAAACCTGACCCTTGTTTTTTTAATATGGGAATCACTCTAGCTATTTTCCAGTCATGTGGTATCCAGGCATTGCTTAAGGAATAGTTTATAAGGTTGAGGACGTCGCCGGGTGATATCTGGAATAAAATTTTAATCATAGGAACTGTTATACCGTCAGGACCAGGAGCCGAAGAGGGTAAGTTTCTAATTACGCTTGACATTTCGGACAATGTCACTTTTTCGTAGTCAGTCTTTATAGAGGACTTTTGCCAGTTGATTGTCAAAGTCGACGAAAATCTGTTAGCTAAACTTCTTCCGATTGCCTCTAACGAATTAGTCATTTCTTCCGTCGATAACCTGTCATAATCAGAGTTAGCTAGAGACGGCAGAATTTTGCGCGATCTCATATATCGGAATAACGCTTTCTTATTTCTAGGTTTGGAAAGAAAGTCGAAATGTTTTTTGTCATAGTCTTCTTTAGCTTTAGCCACGGTGCGCTTAAATGTAGCAGCAATAAACTTGTAATCTGCCCAATTTTTGGGGGACTGATTATGAATTAGCTGCTTCCAAGCCGCTTGTCGTCGTCTATGATCACGAGAGCACTCAGAATTCCACCACTGACTACAAGGCTTTCTCGTATCAGACTCAATAGAAATTCTGCTTTTTTGAACGTTCTTTTAATTACCGCACTTAATTTCATGGCTTTATTTTCATCGTTGTCTTCAGTGGGGGTAGTCAAAGCAACTTCTAGGTCATTTTTAAATTTGGAATAATTGATAAAGGTTCGAGCTTGGGAGTAAGATGGAATAATGGGGCAAGAAATTTCAAACAGTACTGGTAAGTGGTCACTGTTGGTGGCGCAGTCTAGAGTGGTCCAAGATACGCTAGAAATACCCGAGCTTATAAAACTCAAATCTAAGGCAGAGCGGGATCGGTCTCGGATAAATGTGGGAGTTCTAGCGTTGAGGCATGATAAATTATGGTCTATAGACCAGTCCCACAAGCGTTGTCCACATTGATCAGTCCTAAAACCCCAACTAGTGTGGTGAGAATTAAAATCTCCAACCATAATTTTTTTTTTTTTTTTTTTTTTTTTGCCGCTGAATGTTTTGATCTTTTTGCTTCTTTTACACGACAGTGTTCGAACGCGCTTCAATTACTATTCCGAAAAATACCGCCATTGCGACGTAAAAGAGCGCGCTTCAAATCACTAGTATTGTGAACAAATTGCTTTAAATGTGCTTTCAAAGTGAATATAATAACTTAATAATGTATTTTGATGAACAGTGTTTTGTAACATTGAGACAAAACGGACAAAACAGCCGCTACTGGCGTGGCCATCGCTGGTGCATTGAAACTTCCGGCTGGCAATTCAAAATGGCCGCCAGAAAGAGAACGCAAGAGGAGAAAAATTTAAAAACTCTTCGAGAACTTGCCGCATTACCTGCAAATAAGCAATGTTTCGACTGTCATCAGCGGGGGCCAACGTATATAAACATGACTGTCGGGTCATTTGTCTGTACGTCTTGCAGCGGAATTCTGTAAGTGTTTTTTTTGTTTCATCGCTCTTCCAAGCAACATCACTCGAGAAGTATGCGTAGTTAGGGCTACACTTTCTGTCTGCCACAGCGTGCCCTTCATTCATTTTCCTTCAAAGTGCGCGTTCGCGTCTTCGAGAGGGCAGCCGTAATTAGTCCGTGACTATTGCACGGGCGCCGGTGAAGTCGGCCCGCTGGCCATGTAGGTGTACCGCCCATTGGGCAAACGATCCCTCACCGGATGATGTAGCTGTGATTGACTAATCACCCGGGATGTTCCTGGGGTTCCACAGTAGGTGTAAATGACATTCCCATGTGTGACCTTCACTTGCACGGCCCGGCAACTGACGTTTTTTTGAAGTGCGAACGAAACCGATGGAGGCGTGCATTGAGCGACCTTCTGAGCTGGGGATTATCGGTGTGCCTCTGCTAGCGCTGTCAGCTGTATTGAAAGGTCGACCGATAACTTTCGAATACCGCTCGCTGCGTTTGTCTCCGTGGTCATTTCATTCCGTCGTGTCAATCACCTGAGCGTACACTCCTCGTATCCGCCCGAACATTTTGATTTAGCAGTGTTTGTTCTGAGAAAGTATTCAGGTTTCATGGCAGCGAAATTGCAAAGCGGACTTTGTGCTCTACCACTGCTACCTACTTTCAAGCGCTGTCGATAAAGGGAAAGCAGATGCCTTGTCCAATTTACCGGTTTCATGTATTGATAATCATTTCATTGTGATTCGCACTGTATTGAGTGAACCCGTTGCGATAGCCGCCGCAGCGATAGTGCTTCAATTTGTTCGAGTGGCACTTCGGGACTGACTTAATTGGTTTGAAGAAAACCTACCTCTTTTGGACAGATTCAGTCGTCGTTCAATTGGGCACACGAAACAGCTGTTCGATATATACATCATCGACGTACACACCTAGTAAGGCAAGCCACCTGTGAAAGAAAGGTCCTTGCCCTGCCATTTGAAGGTGACATTAAAGCTTGTGTTCCGACCACTTGCTTGCACTTTCACAGTGATAAATGTGTAATAGGTTCGGTAATATATGTTTCTGGAAGAATCAAGTTAATTTCTTATAGACCACTTGTTATCTATTTTATTCTTGACACTGAGGTTGCCTGTTTTATTTGGGTTGCAGCTAAGTGTGTGAGCTCTTTGTAAAGTAAGGCTCTCTACCTCTCTCTTTGTCACTGACTATAACTTCCGAAAATTATTTTTGAGTTCAATGAAAACCCCGGACATAACTGGGGTCGCATTAACGGAAAAAGTAGAGCACATTTTTAGACTCGGCATTAGCCTACCGCTAGAATTATCTAGGCCATTGAGCTGGTCAGTACCCGGTGTATGTCACATTGACGTAGGAAATCAAATTAGGCTCTTGATGGCCTTTCCATTCAGCCAGTGTGGATGTAAATTATGGTGCCAAGATTGTATGGCATCATCATATATAAACTCATATTTATTTTTCAACTCATTTGGCAGTCACATTATTGTTGTCTCTTTAAACACTTCTGCCGAATCTGATGATGTTAGAGAAGTATGCAACAAAATGAAACTTCTCACTAAGTCATCATAAATAAAGGTTGCTTCCAACGTTTGTGAAGTGGAGATGTTGCTGGGATATTGCTTGATAAGCACTTTGCAGTATTTTTATGTACTTATTTTGATACACAGTGCCAAGTGCACGCTACAATGGTGTAACTTGGAAGAATTTGTCTTAGAAGGCAAACACCGGTTGCCCATGGGCATCCAGAGGGGAGTGCTAAGGCGGGTGGGTGGCTTCCCTGGAATATGAATTTATACTTTCCTATGCAGTAGCAATACGTTACACAGCTTCATTAGTGCACTCATGTCGCAGCATTCTGTATTGCCAGTTCATTTCGCTTTGTACACTGCTCTTGTTGGTCATATAGAGTATCTAGGTGTGGTCAGGTTCTCGTATCCTTCAGATTACTTTCCATAGAATTGGATACATAACTAACTTCTTGTAGATTCTACTAGCTTATTCTTTCTCTTTTTGTTATATTGATTTAAGAACACGGGACCCCACTAAAAAAAACGCACTAAAAAATATCTTATTGCATGGTTATGATGTGAAGAGTGTGACAGACTATTCTCATGCTTTCAATCACTTTATCTTGTTCTCTGCGCATGCCAAATGTATTTCCAAATGCCAAATGTATATTCATAGTATTTCCTATACCCTTCCAAGGTCTAATGTGGCCACGGTTACTTTCATGTCTTTTTCAGGCGAGGTTTAAACCCACCGCATCGAGTGAAATCCATCACCATGACAACATTCACACCTGAAGAAATAGAGCAGATAAAAAACAAAGGAAATGAGGTAAATGTGAACGATGTCATCAGGCATCTGGGGGAATAACGTGCATATTTAAAATATTTTTGAGGTTGTTGTTACTTAATTCTCATGTGATGTACGGAAACTGTGTGCGATCGTTGTTACTGTCGTGTAATATGAAGGTTGCAGTTTTCCTCTTTTGTGTGCATGCATGAAAATTTCATACCAGGGCTGTCGAATTTATGGAAGCAGCTTAAACAGGATTATTCTTGCATTTGCAGCTATGGCGGCCACGAATTCATGCGAGTTCAGTGCAGTACAGTATTTGTATTATGATCTAAGCAGACATTTATTAAGTGCATTTTTGCAAAACATTGTGTGTTCAACACACAAGTGCACAGTAACATCAGCAGTGTCTGACAGAAAGGCTTGAGCCGAGATGGTGATGCAGACATATCGACAGCAAGTACCGATATCTACCAATGTCTTTTCCTTGAGAAATCTGCACTTGCACTCTCCACGTCTAAGATTTTCTTGCACAAAAACCTCCTTGTAAAGTGATAGTAATTTAAAATGCATGCTCCTCAAGCTTTAGGTGTACACTATAATCTCATTATAATGAATTTGTATCTGACAAGAAAATATAATTGAAAAAAAAAAATTATTATAGATGTATATTAGTAAAACTGTGTCTTTGACAAGACTATTCATTTATTTAGTTTTAACTGATCATTCACTATATTCACATTATATCAAGCTTTTACTGTATATGTTAATGCTTTCTTCAGAATGTTTTATTGCAAACTTCAAATCTCTTGCATAGGCTTTGAGCATGCCTTTTTCGAATTCCTGTTGTTATCATCAGTGGGCTCTTGGCTGCTCCAGTAGGTGCTGTTCGGAAAACATTGGTTATCGGTGATGCTGGCTACAATGCATTCTTGTGTGTTCATAAGCACCATAGTTTCCACAACCTTACTGGTAATGACGCATCATGATGACATCTCATAAATGTAAAAGGACTCTAATGTGAGACAGCAAATTAATTTAGGCTTAAAAACTGTGCTCTGAAAATTATTTTGTCTACTTTCGCCATCATAGGTAATAATGGATGAGAAATTAATATAACAAATCACACTCAAATTTAAAATCATAGTCTCTGATAGTGACATCACAAATTTTAAAGGACTTTTTTGTATTTCAGGCATATAGGACATTTGGATTTTTTCTGAAACTTTATAAGTTATGTCTCTGGCTCACTCGGAAAGCAATGCACTTGGTTTTTGCCAAGTTCTGTGATGTCACAAGGGCCGATGCAGAAATTTCGAGGTGGCACCACCATGCGCACTTCTTTTCGCATGTTTTATTGTTTACCGAGGATCTTCTTGCACCAAGCATGGCATTTTTGGTATCGTGAAATAGTAGCTTACTTATACAAGAAAAATCCTTTTTCTTTTTTAGTATCCCTTTAAGCACCATAGCTTCCACAGCTTCACTGGTAATGGGTTGTGATCAGTGATGACAAGATAATAGTAAGAGACTGGCAAGCCATCACAAGGGGCTCATACATTCAGTGGATGGTCCAGATTTCTTGAAGGGCAATTTTTTCTGCTCACACATGACCTAACGCGTGTGCAGTACTGCAAGTACGTGTGGCTGGGTCTGTACGACTCTCGCTGCCCTATGGAGCCGGACTCCAGGGACGAGCAGCGGACGCGGGACATGATGATTCAAAAGTATGAGCGCAAGCGCTGGTATGTTGAGCCTGAGGTGGCCCTGCAGAGGATGCAAGCGGACCAGCAGCAGCAGGGCAGAGCACAGCAGCAGCCTCAACAACAACCAACACCGCCACCACCGACTAACCATGTGCCGCATTCCAACTCTGCTGTCATGCCCGATACAAAGCCCCTCTCAAGTCTGCTGGGGAAGAACAGCCTCCCTCTAGTCATTCATAAGTCCCAGGTGACCCTCAATACGCAGCTCACATGATCAAATAATCAAGTACAACAAAAGCGCACACATACTTGTTTAAAGGGACCCTGCAACACTTTTTGAACATGGTCAGAAAATGCTATCAATCAGTTATCGATGCTCTAGTCAGCAGCTGCACAGCATGTGGCTGGGAACTTGCAATGGAAGTTCAAAAGTTAGCTAGGCTCACTTTTCTCGTGGCAAGTGATGCCGTGTACTCAAATCAACTGCATCACATACTCAAATAATGTGGCCATTGGCTGATTTGAATGTTGTGAAACTACATAGTTAATGTGGCTGCTGTAGCATGCCGTGACATGCGTGCGCCACTGCCCGTTGCTGTTTGGGTTCACAATCACGGGCATATCGGGCATGTGGAGAGCGTTTGATTCTACTCGGGCTCTCAACGGCTGTCTGCCTTGACGGCCGCGAAGCGACGCGCCAGTTGTTGCGCTCGGAGTGTATAGTACATTGCCTGCGTGCATGCTCGCAGAAAGCAATAAAAAGTGCTCCCTTCAATTCCACCTCCGCTGTGCAGCTTTCAACGCACTCGCTGGAATGAAAAGGGAGAGAAAGCTCTTGGAGCATGCAAAACATCTGTGTAACTTCGCTTTTACAGGACCGTTTCAAAAATTTTCGTGGCAGGGGATTTGTCAGGCAATGAACTCCAATGGTAAGGTTATTTTGTGTATACATAGAAAAGTGTTGCAGGGCTTGTGATTTTCCTTTTCTGAAAGTGTTTTTCCGATGTAGCTAGGGTACATGTGTAGGTTAGAAACTAAATGTAGGCAACAGAAATGCTGATTAGTAGCCTAAGACTTCAGGGAAAAAATTTGTCAAGATTTTGTTCATGTGCATTTAAGGTTAGGTTCTTTGGGTGTTTTTTGCTGTCTCTACCGTGATCTGCATCTGTTGATGTCTACCATAATAATTTAAGTAAACTTGTGCAGCTTGTCAAAAGGCACGCTTTGGCAGTACACTTTTATATATTGTTTTATGAATTCAATAATATAATTATAGTTAGTTATATTGTTACTCAAGAGTGTTTATTTTTCCATGTGTAAATGTTGGATGTGGTGGAGGTTCCTCATATGCACTCTTATTTTTTTATATCTAGCATCTGGTTCACCTACCTGCCTTCCTTTTTTTTCTCATTTCTCTCTTGTATAAGCGCTATATATCAGAAAATCAGTAAGCATACACAGAAACCCAAGCTGTGCTTTGATGTTGCTTTGAAAGCAAGAAGACTGAAGACGAACTTAATTTTGCTTATTTCAAAGTGCACCATGAAACTGTTTGAGCATTCTGTCTTACAATGCCGTCCGTTTCGCAGCCCACGACTCCTAGTTCTGCAACTTGGCCGACACCCATTTCATCAGCCGTTGCCACGACGACAACCAGCCAACCCATGTTCAAGTCAAATGTCGACATTTTCGGCACTTTTAACAGCGACCCATTCAACTCGGCCTCCGTAAACTCTACACCTACAGGTTAGCGTGTGGCTGCGTTCTTCCCAAAGTTTCCTTTCTTCGTAATTGTTCTAATGTGACTGTTTTGAGTGTTTTCTCGTGTTGTTTGTGCATGCAACAGTTGGTCCACTTTCAAGACGTGTGTTGTGGTAACACTCCTCCTCCTTTTCACTGTGTCTCGTAGTTCCTGCGAAACCTGCATCATTTTCTGCAAATGGAAACTTTGCAAATTTTGACACAGTTTTCTCATCTGGTAAGCACTGCGTCGTTCTTCCTTCTTTGTGAACGCTCATGGGTGTGCAGGCATGGAGTCAAAAGTGTTGTGCATGCAGTCTTTATTTTTTGCACTTCTTGCATAGGTGGTTTAAATCACCATGCAATTTCGCATGTTTCTCTTCTCTATTTTTGTGTGACTAAACGATTGCTGCCACCTTGCTTCTTGGGTTCTCTGAAAGTGGCAGATTTTTGTTCAGTTTAAGGTGTAATGACACAAAATTTTTAAAGTGAGATGACTAGCGAAATAGATTTTCCTGAACACATATTCAGGCAGTCATGTAAAGAAAAACAGTGGTGTTGTGCTCTCTTTTGTTTGTGGCACTGTAGCTAATGCAATTTCCTTTTTATGAAATTTGAATGTATCAGCATCTTGTGGTTGGCCTTTTCTCTTTGAGGAACTCGGGTTAGAATTATGGACATTAGTATGCAACCTTGCACATCAACAAAACTTGTTATTTCTTCAGGAAACCAAGAGCAAGCACCTGTGGTGTCTCACACTGGAGTGACAAACAGTGTAAACAGCAACCACATCGGGGACACAAGCACTGGTGGTGGCTTTGTAGCCTCCTTCCCGCCAATGCCAAGTGCGCTAACTGCAGTGAGCACGCCATCTACTGTGACCCTGTCTGCAGCTGCCGGTGGAGGAGAGCCGCAGACCAAGGTTCCTCCGGCGGATCGATACGCAGCCCTGGCCGACTTGGACAACCTGTTCCACCAGGAGAGCCCGCAGCCGCAGCCACCTCTGCAGCCACCCCAGCCACCTGCTTATCCGCAGGCCTCGGCATTTGCAGTGCCTCAAGGTGTGTTTCACAATAGATAATGCATGAACCAGTGACAGTGGCAGTGGACTGGCAGACATGATGCTGCAGTCTTAATATTTCCACACTCTTTTCTTAAGTTTTGTTGTCGCCCCATTAGACGTAAGAGTGCCGCCTTGCGCAAACCGCACCAATAGTCTAAGAACCACCACGATAATCGTAGAACCTTCCTATGCGATTACACGCACAACAGGGACATTACAGACTGTGCTCGATCCTACGTACCTGCTAGTGATAATGCTGGAACGTTCGACGGCACGTGTATAAATGCCAGCGCACATCGCGACTTGTCAGGTGATCGATGGCCAATGCTCTGTTCACCGCTATTGGTGTCAGTTTGTTGCTGCAATCCAACTTTCCATTTACTGGCCGCAAGTTTGGCGAAATAAATACAGTCCAGCCCACATATAATGACCCCACTTAAGGGGAGACGCGGGTCGAAAAGTCGCGTTTTTTTTCCAAATTTCACCTTTTCTGTTTTTTGTTGCTTTATCATCTTTATACATTATATTTTGACATCTGAAAATATCACAGCGAAATAAGCATCAGAAGTCAGTGAAAAACGCGTCTGAGTGAGCGGCAGTGACGCGCGGCATCACGAAATTTACACAAAACGGGCTGCTGTTCGCGTGCTCGCGGGGCCGCGAAGAGAGCTGTCCGCCATATTGCGGCCGCTGGCTCGTGTAGAGTTGTCCTTACTCTCCACGATCCCGGTTCTTGAAGTCTCGTACGTTCACGAAAAATCTAAAAAAAAAAGCAACAAAAACAGTCTTTTCCCGCCGTTTCAAACCGCGCGCCACTAACGCAGGGCCGCCATTGGCTGACAGCACCCGTGTTTTCTTGCCGTAGTTCGCTTCACTGTTTTCCGGAGTTATTTTTCGCTGTTTTCGTGCGATGGCAAGCCCGAAAAAGGCCGTTGCCGACCATCGGAAATACAGAAGTAAGAACAAGTTCAGAGGGAAGCGGCGGAGGACGTACAAGAAAGCCACCGCCAACGAAAATGTCCGCGACGGGCCAGCGGCCGGTAGGCCTAACATCGACCACGGCAACGTCGACCATGGCAACTGCGACGACGAGATCAACGCTGCAGTGAATTTTGTGAGTGCATCGCAGAAAAAGATCGCGTTATTCGAAAACGACGTCAGGCCGAATGCCGATCGTGCCGAAAGCGTAGTGCTGTGCGAGTTGGGTGCATTGACGGCCGTCGTCGCAGGCGCGGCATGCCCGTTTGTCACGAGAGTAAACTCGCATTTCGGGCACCGAATAAAAAGCGGAAAGGCCTTTCGGCGTTTCTGGAGCTACACTGCGAGAATGCGGAGTGCTCGGAGAGCATCCTTTCGTCCGCGTACTCGTCGAAGCGGGTCGCGTCAGATGGCGGCCGCGGTGCAAGCAGAAGCTACGACAGCGGGAGTTCGCGTGACGCCTTTGCCGTGAACCTGAAAGTGGTGCTTGCAGCGCGTGCCGTCGGTATCGGGCATGAGCAACTTTCACGATTTTGTGCAGTAGTTGGATTGCCAAACCCTATGCACCATAAGACCTTCCATGCTATCGGCAAAAAGATTCACAGTGCGGCAGTGAAGGCTGTCTGTGAAAACATGCAAAGGGCACGCAGCGTCACCAAAGAGGTGGCTGGTAACAGTGACGTGCCAGTCATGTTTGACGGCACATGGCAAAAAAGAGGCCACAAAAGCCACAATGGTGTGGGAACTGTAGTGTCCTTGGACACTGGTTTGTGCCTGGACTATGAAGTGCTTTCCAACTTCTGCCTGGCGTGCAGTTTGCATAACGACATGGGAGGCGATGAAGAAACATGGCAGGCGTTTCATCATCCCGTTTGTGAGAAGAATTGCGACTGTTCTTCGCATGCCATGGAGGCCGAAGCTGCAGTGCGCATTTGGCAGAGGACTGTGGACTATGAGACACCCCTGCGGTTCACCATCTTCCTAAGCGATGGAGACAGCAAGGCCTACAACGGGGTCTGTGATGCCAACGTGTACCCTGACACTCCAATTGAAAAAGAGGAGTGCACCAACCACGTGGCGAAACGTCTGGGCACCGGCCTGCGGAAGCTGCCAACGCCACTTCCACGAGGGGAGAAGCTGAAGGAGACCACCATCCAGAAGCTTCAAACTTACTTTCAGGTGGCCATTGTGAACAATCGGGGAAATGTCCACAAGATGTACACTGCCATATGGGCCTCATGTTTGCACTCGTGCTCAACAGACGGTGCTGGAAGTCACAAGTTCTGTCCTGCAGGCCCAGACTCGTGGTGCAAGCACCGACGTGCTGAGGCGCAGGGCCAGCCTGCACCGTGCCACACCCCCCTCCTGACCAAGGCCCAGGGTTTGGCAGTCCTCCCAATCTACAAGCGTCTCACAGATGCGAAGCTGCTTGCCCGGTGCCTCCACGGCAAGACACAGAACGCGGCCGAGTCCCTGAACAGCAAAATATGGCTGCTGTGTCCAAAGACCCGGTTTGCTTCCCGGACTGCTGTGGAAACAGCCACAGCCATTGCAGTCCTGTGGTTCAACCGGGGCCACGCGAGCTTTGAAAAGGTGCTGGAAGAGCTTGGGGTGCTTCCTTCGGAGGCCCTGGTTACCCTCAGCGACCGCCGAGACAGCATGCGCATGCACAAGATGAATGTGCGTCAAACCGCTGAGGCGAGGGCACACCGTCGCAGTGCAGCCAAGAGGGCCCGGGTGGAGGAGTCCTGCCGCACCAGCCGGGAAGGGAAAACCTACGGTGCTGGAGAGTTTTAGACAACTGATATTCCCTCTGGACATGTGTGTATGTGTTCAGCACAAGTTTCGTGCTACTGCGTTTTTCATTTTTGTAAATACAGACTTTCAAACTTTCAAACGCGTTTTTCTCATTTCGCAATTTTGGCCAATTTGCATTTTTTGCGGGAAGTGTTTCGGGCACTTAGAATGGTCATACGACGACGAAATTTGGCACACACATTGAGGAGAGTGCGTAGGGTGCCGATATCTACTTGAATCAGCACAACCTATCAGCTGTAAATATCTATTAATAAATTTAATGGTGGTCGAGTGGAAAAAAAAGGGTAGTTTGCTACACAGATGTTTTTTTCATAGTTTCAAAGTTGGAGCACAATTTCTAGCTAGATATCGGCACTCTATGGCTAATAGGGAGCAAAAGGAGCCATTGAACAACTCTCTGCATGAACATTTAGTATGCGCGAAAGTTCCCGGAAAACTTATCAAGTTTCACCATTACTTGAAACACAACTCCCAAACTATTGCACTTATGTAAAAACTGATTACAGATTTGGAATGAGGAGGAAAAACTGCATCAGTGGTCCAATTTCTGAAGCTCTAAGTTGAATAACAAAAAAAAAGTGCTTTCGAGGAGCGTCTCCCCTTAAGGGGGGACGTGGCAAGTAAAACTAATTTTTTTATTAATGTACTGTTTGTGATGAAATTTGGTGTGTGTATGTGGATGATTGTGAGGATTCCAAATATGAAAACCGTTTTCAAATACCTCTTGTACTTTTTGAGTTACAAGCATAATTATACTAATTAATGCTCTTCACACTTATGAGATAATTATTGCTAAATGAAATTATTTTTTCATATTATTATGTTCCCAAAGCATCAACTTGTGCAAAGAAGCTATTAGTTGATTTTTCTGGTTCTTGTAACCATAAATAAAATTTCCAAAACATGGATGTTGTTTTGCGCACACATCGCAGTAATTATAAAATGTGTTCTAAAAATTTTAAATGATGAGTAAGAAGAGAGATAAAGCTTTATTGCACTGCTAAAGGCCTCCTGAGCCTAGTGCAAAAAACGGAACGACTCTATCAGTCTTTGTTAGAAATTGACAGATGTTCTAGCGAAGGCACATAGGCGAAAATCAAGAGTTGAGAAAACTGACTTTGAAAGTTCACTCTTGTTTGGAAGTTCACAACATGCCTAAAACACTCAGAATCCTCCTGGGCAGTAATCCTGAGATGCTGTGGCCTTGGCCTCTGTAGAGCGCAACCCAGTTTTGCGCTTCTTTGTCGTAGAACAATGCACCTTTTGAGCCCTCTTTACCCTTTTGGCATCCTTTTCGGCTGCTCGCCGCAAAGAGCAGTCTCCTGGATTGAAGCCCAGTTGAGCAGTGATCTCTTGCAGCGCACTCTTGCAGCCACCATTGAAACGGCAGACTGCATCTGCAACTGCACTTTCCACACTTCGAAGGGAGGCGAACTGGCTCTTGGACTGGAGTGACCAAATGAGGCTGTTCATACTCTCCACAGCGTTCTGGGTTTTTCCCTGCGCACACCTTTCAAGCAGCTTTTTGTTCGAGAGGCGCTTGTAGATTGGCAGCAGTGCCACTCGCACGTGAGGGGGTAGTTTATGTTTGTGAGGCGGCAGCGGCTCTCCCTTGGCCAATGCCTGATTGTGCGGGCACCAGGAGTCAGTCCCACTTGGGCACAGGTCGTGGTGCGGATCCTGGTCTGTGGATGTTACATGGTAATAAGTGGCCATGATGGCCCTCTCCATGCCAGGAACATCGTTGGGGTGGCTCTTAATGGCCCAGCCATAATAATTCGTCAACTTCTTTATCAGGCCCTGCATCAGCCGGCCTTTGCCACCCATGCTCAGTCCTCGGCCTTTGGATTTGTGCTCATCAAGAAGGTTGCGCAAGGAAGTGCCCATTCTTTTTTTCACATGGTTCACACACTCCTGTTTCTTAATCACCATGTAGCCATACACCTTGTCTTGCGTGAGGGCAAGGTACGTACGGCTGTCACCGTCGCAGAGCACATTGATGTATCGAAGCTTGTACTTGGTAAACGATCTTTCAAACATGATCCTAGCTGCTTCTACTTCCATTTGGCCTGCATTAGCATCGGTGTTCTTTTGGCACTGTGGCTTGTGTTTCTCAAGCCACTCCTCATAGTTGTCGTCACCAGGCTTGGGGCCAACAGCACAGCCTTGGCAGTAGTTGGACAGGACACAGTGGTCCAAGAC